AAAGAGTGTTCCATTTGCCAAGTCTTTTGGCAGCTGATGATATTGAGGTCAAATATTGAAGGTAACACTACTAAAATCATAGCTGAGTCCTTCTACGTTTCATCAGAGTTTTGTTTTTATTTAAGTGACAAAGAAATATGACACTAGAGATCTGTCTTTGCCCTTGAGCTGGGAGCTTTCCCACTCTGGAGGAGGAGGAGGGTGCCTGATCGGTTGCTGAAATACTGAGGGTGATGGACAAGCATGCAGATTATAGATGGTTTTGTAACGGTTTTAAATCCCTGAATGACTAAAATAGTGCTGTAACTATCACAAAAATTGTATACTAAGGAAATTTTGGTCGGGTATTGGGTTCCTTGTAGTTGATGTTAACCATATATTTCTCCAATTTATACCTCATTGGCCTTCTGTGACACTGCTGTTGTAAATCCAGTCAATATGCATATTGTCTAGAATTGGTGATGTAATTGGTGCTGTGCAACAAAGAAGAAAATGGTCCGGGCCTTTGTTCTAAAAATACAGATGGCACAATTCACATATGTGGCAGATGATCAACAGATGAATTCACATTAAGTCAATGCCATTAGAACTGACTCTTCTACTAGTACTTTTCCTTCCAGTTTAGGTAATCAGTAGGGATCCTGGTTTTCTCTGATTTAAAAAAAAAAAAAAAAAAATCCCCAATTTTCAGTTAAAAAAGAGTAACCCCAAATCTACATTTTTCCATTATTAAAATGAAACACCACTAATATATAGATGTATTTTAACTTTTCTCTCTATATTAGTGGTGTTTCATTTTAATCGTGGAAAAAATGTAGATTTGGGGTTACTCTTTTTTAACTGAAAATTGGGGATTTTTTTTTTTTTTAAATTGGAGAAAACCAGGATCCATGGTAATCAGTCTGCTTGGTACAAACCTGCCATTTCGTAGTTTCAGCCAGTAACTTACGAGGTAGTTTGTAAAGCATCATCTTGGGTAAGATTAAATAACATCACCTCAAATAATTTAGCCAATAAATGCATATTAATTTGCTTGTTTTTTCTTGGAGATCTTTTGAATATGCCAGGTTAATGTTTCTAAGAGAAAACTCATCCCATTGCAGCAGAGAGAAGAATAAAGTGCATTTGAAAGTGGTTTATACCAGTTCGGTTTTGTGTTAATATTAAGTTGCTTGAGAAACATCGCGTGTTCACAGATATCAGTCTCTCTGAAGTCTTCCTGACTTAAGTTGGGTTGTTATATTTTGCCAGAGTGTTTGTGATGGTGATATGGGTAAGGCAATTTTTACCTAATCTGTCTAGGGCCTGTTTGTTTTTTAAATGGCTGTAATTGTAGATCCAACATTTTAAAGACTTTAAGGTATCTATTTATGAAGACACTTGTTGACTACTTGAGGAATGTAGCATAGACTACTTCTGTAAACTGTTTCTAACAAGTGCATTGTAGATGGGGGAAAACCGTAGGGGCCTGTTAATTTGTTTTTCTGTTCAGTGTCCTACTTGATGTGCTGCTGTTCTTGCATATGTACAAATAAATACATAAAATGTTGTCACAGTATATCCTGAGGCTCTACTTTTATGTCCCAAGTTATCAGTAGCTATTTTATTAAAGCAGACACAGACATGGTAGTGAATTATCATTTTAAAATGACCACACATGCAGTGCTTTTTAAATAATGAAATTGTGCCCGATTGCAAAGCCCACCAATTGCTGTTTCGACAGCTAGGCCTTTAAAGTTAAAAGAACTTAAAGCCTATTTTGGTAGGTAACATCAGCAAAAGTATATGTGGGGACGGGGCAGGGTTCCTTTAGCTGGTGGACATTTAGCATAAAAGTTCAGGTCCTTTGGGAAAGGGGAAAATGCTGTATAGTTGTGTTTTCCCACACATGTTTCACAATCGCTTTTATATGGGTACAAGCTAATAAAACTAGGATTGTGTTTGTTTGTTTTACACAAAACTCTTGGGTCAGAGATGATACCTTTTATTAGACCAACTAAATAGCAGCAAAAAAAATCTTTTCTTTGCAAGCTTTTGGGCCCATACACTCTTTATCAGCCTTCATCAGGCTGAGGAGAATTCAAAGACATTCCAGCCCCTAATGTCTATAAATTTATTTATTTATTATTTTTGTAATGGCTGATAACCATCATATTGAAGAGAGATTAGGAAGAGCTGTGAATCTAATTGCATTTAGATAACTAGCTCTTGTTTCTGTATAAAATTATCAAAGTTGATAAAAAAAAAAAAAAATAAATAAAGACGTTCTGCCGGTCTTATCATGGGGTTATTTTCCTCTTTGAGTGACTGCCTGTTAGAACAGCTTTGACTTTGATGGTTTAGTTAGTTCTCTGTGCTCTTTTGAACATACTGCTGTTCAGCTAGCCAGGACTTTCACCTCAGGCACTCCTTGAAGCAAGCCATGGTCTCTGCTTTTGCTCATTTTGCAAGGAGGATGAAAGTTTGTCACTGGCATACTTTGTTAATGTCTGCTGAATGCAAACTGCAGGTATGCCCTTTTCTTTAAACCAGTGTATTTGCAGTATATAAGAACCAAAAATGTTAGGCGGGGGAGTGGTTCATAGATGCATAAGATTTCATAGCTTTATAGAAGTCAGGGGCTGGAAGGGACCTCACGAGAGCATCAGGTCCAACCCTCCGCTCTAAGGCAGGAAAAACTACTGAGGTCAGATGACCCCAGCGAGGTACGCGTCCGGTCGTCTTTTAAAGATCTCTGGGGAAGGTGACTGTACCACCTCTGGGGGGAGTCTGTTCCAGGCTCTGGACATGTGAATCATAATTTTTTTTTTTTTAATGTCTACTCTGAAGCAATCTCCTATCAGTTTATGACCATTATTCCTTGTCTTGGTGAACAGATGTTGTTCTGTTGTAACCAACCATTCTGCTGTAATGGGGTTGTTCTGTTGTAACCATCCAATAGTTGAAGAAACTTTACACTTCCTCCTTGAAGCCAAAACAATGTTGGGTGATTGCTTAGGGTCTGGTTTTCAGCTGGGACATGTTCCATGATTTTAGCTTCTCCAGAAGAATGCTGAAGAATGACCCTACCTTATCTTGGCTTCCCTTATCCTAGCTTCCTTTCATTTTTGGCTATTTGGATTCAGTCTGGGAATGAGCAGGGTTTTATAGGGAGCCCTCAAGTTAGTAGTAGAGGTAAAGGGGTGCAGAAGCCACTGTGGCTCACTGGAAAGAAATAGGATTAGTTGCTGGGGGGAGAGGAGTGTGGCTGCCACATTATGCAGGGAGTCTCCTGGTTCTCAGTGGAATATGTGAGATCTCAGGAGAGAGCAGGGGTTGGGAGGGTATGTGACTTCTCCTGTGGAGGTCAAGGAAAAGATGGGTGTTGAGGGAGTCTTCAGGGGAGTCCTTAGGAAAATTAACTAAGTGTCCATGCCAAATATGTTAATAGTGTGGTTATAATATCAGGGAAAACTATTGACTCTGTTTAATACCACTGAGTTTTTTTTTCAAATGCGAGATCTGTTTATTTTATTTTATTTTATTTCTTTGTGTGCAGGTGTTCCGGAAGGATCTCATTAGTGCCATGAAACTCCCTGATTCTCACCATGTTAACCCCGATGAATATTACCTCTTTGCGGACACATGGAAACAGGAGTGGGAAAAGGGTGTTCAGGTCCCAGCCAGTCCAGACACAATTCCACAGCCTTCCCTCAGGTATTAATTATTAAACGTTGCTAATGTGTTCAGTTTTTATAAAATGAGATGGTGCTTCAAAAAACTACCGTCTCATTGCAATCAAAGCTTGCTCCCTTCTTATTTAAACCTGATATACCAGTCTCCCTAATTCAAACTCTTTCAAACTAAAATACTACCAATTTGTAGCCCACTTCAAAGGCAATTGGGATTAGATGGGAAGAGGTCGATCTGTATTAAAGGCTGAAGATCTGTGTTTACTGTGCATAACTGGGTTAAAAATCTAATCTAATGTGAAAAAAAAGAAAGAAAAAAAATTCCAAGTTCCTTTCTGCAACCAGTTGGAGCACTGCATAATGATATCATTTAACTTAATGTGGCCAAGTGAATAAAATTTCAATTGTAAAACACAATTAGCATTAATTAAATTAGAAAAAAACTACCTATAACATCAAGTTGAATAGTAACTGTAGTGTTGGCCAGACTCCTGTGTCCAGCACTGACTGATATCAGTCAGATAAAGATTTCAGAGGACTGTTAAGACCCTCCGAGACTGGGCAAACCGTTATGTGTAGGGTACGTAACTCTTCCTCACCAAGTCTTAACAACCTGTTTGTGCCCTTGAATAGGAGACTGGAAACTTTCTCTTGAATCTCATAAAAAGGGGCATGCTAGTCATGCATCCAAGATGATGCATCTACCACTTCATTTTACATTTTTCTTCTGTTATCTTATGTAAAGGTTACTGATCTGTAGCATGTTCTCCACTAAGGGCCTTGGTGGCCCTGTACAGCCCCTTTAATTGTTGGAAGTTCTGTAATTCCAGTCTTCTGTGAGACCCTTCCAAAAGGTTGCTCATGTCCTTTCCTTTGAGACATGACAAAATGCAGCATGATACTATTTTACTAATAAAAGTGCACACCCAAATGTTCAAGAATAGTAGAAAGCTAAGCTTAGGCTTGGAAACCCAAAATGAGCCGGCTGTGTGAAGTATTTAAAAAAAAAAAAAATCAAGTGAATTATGAACACTGTGTCCACTGGGCTTGGGTTCTCAAAGTTTTGGACAGCTCTACAAATCCTCTTTTTAGGTACTGAACTGGAGGCTAAGGGCACTAACTTTTACTTTTGCACTTTTTTAGAAATGTTAGTCACAGTGTGGTTATTCATGTTTTATTTTAATATAATTCAATGTCGTAATTCTATTTTTAGAATTAATATAGATTGATTTCTCTACCTAAGTAAAGGAAGAAATCTAGCTAATTCAGAACACAATAAGAATAATAAATATAGTTGCTTCCCCATTATGCATTGCATAACTACTGAAATTTAATTCAATGTTCTGCTCTGTTGCTCAGGTTGAGTAGGGTTCTCACATTTCTCTGTACCATCACTCCAGGGTAGTGGCTTATGGTTCTGCTCAGGTGCAGTGTTCTTGCTACCGGGGGCCCAAATACTTAGAGAGGCTAACCTCTTTGTTTTCCCTTCATGCTAAACCTGTGTCACTGGAAGTTATGAAGACGAGATAAGGAGCCATGTTGACACTAGAAAAGGTTGGCTGATACAGATGTACTGGCAAATCCTTCGGGTACCACACAGCTTATGCTAGCAAAAAAGTGATTTTGCCAACTTAGTTTGTACTGAGCTAAATTAATCATGTCTTCAAAAACACTTATCCCAGCATAATTACATGTCTGACAGGTCTGTTGCCAGTACAAAAATAAGGCTTAAGAAAAAATCTCACAGCTCCCATACCACTAATCAGTATTCCTGTAAGAGCAAAAACTTCTATTGTAGACCTGGACAGAACAAATAGAAAATAGATAAGGTAGGGTGAAAAGAAATGAACCAGTGGATAGGGGAGGAAGAAATGGGGCAGAAAAACACTTCCGCTAACATTGGGTAATCCCCATTGTTCAGTAAGAAGCGTGTAGGTCATGAGAGTTCAGCAAAGTAATCAAAATGTACGTAGTTTAACAAAACATAATGGACATCATTTTACTTTAATTTCCCTCCACACAACTTTTGTTCTTTAGGATTAGCAGTAGGTGGCAATCAGTGCATTTCACATATAGTATTCCTGTTCAGTTTGCCTCTGAAGTCCTTCTAGACAAACAGCCCCTGGCATTAGATATGGAGAGAAACTGCTTTTATGTGGGTAACAGTCCTTTTCATAATTTGAAGCGAGCTTTATTTCTAAAGGACTGGTTGTTCTGCCTTGCATGTATCTTAATTGTGTTCTTTTTGGCTTTCATGTTCACTTAGCAACAGACTGTACAATCCTTCTTGTATATCTGAAATAGTGATATAATGATAAACTTTTATCAGGTATCATTTTACCAAATTAATATCAACGTAGACTATCCAAAATGGGGAGCACACATCTGTTTTTTTTCCAACAGAATTTGACAAATCCAATTTCAGTGAAATAAAATTACCAGGTTTTGGTCTGTCAGCTGGCAGTCTAATTAGCTTTCATTCAGCTGTTCAGGACTGATTCTGAAAAAAGATGAACAAGATTTGCAGGTACTGGTACATAGTGTTTTCTACAAATGAAAAAAAAAATGTCCAAAGTGGTCAAGCTGAAGGCATTTTGTGAAATTTTAAAATTTATCAAAAAAAAAAAAAAATCAATTTTTAGTTTTTCCAGCCATGCGTTCTAAGACCTTAGTACATAATTTAGCAGACTATTACACACATGCTTTAAATTAAGTTCTGAAAAATCAGACCATATCAGTATGGTGTGATCAAAGGTATACTGATAACCATTTTTCTGATTCACTAAACTGATACCAGGTGAGAAGGAACCAAAAGGTCATAATTTCTTGGCAGCTGCCAGTCCTTAAACAGAGGTTACATTATAAAATCTCTATCCTGGCATCCTTGACAGTTGTCAGACTAATTGAGGTCAATGCGACCTAAAGGTACTTGACATCTTACAGAAATAGGTCCTGAACAAATACCATATTTACTTGAATATAGGATGACCCTGAATGTAAGTGACCCCCCACAATAATTAGATTCTGTATATGAAAAATATATAAATTTGTTACAGTTTTCCATATAGAATCTACTTATTAGAGGTTTGCCTGGAATTTGGCTCCATCCTATTGCTACACAAGGTAAAATAAATTGTTG